ATATACATATGTCATAAAGTTGTATTGCAACATGTGCTGTCAGTGTTCGGATCAAATAAGTTTTTTTTTTAAATCAATAAATTTATAATTTCATATTGATGACATGAATACCTACAAACTTGCACCAATATCTGTGATTTTATTGTTTTTTTCTTTTATTTTAGAACGTAAGAACTATGTAACAGTGCATTGTACAGGGTACCTAAAGAGTTGGCCGTCATCCAAAGTAGAAAACTTCAAAGATAATGAAATGGATAATGGCAACTGTAATTTAACATGTTTGGTTGCAATAGGCAGATTACAGGTAAAATTTGTGTGCTGATTGTGTAGCACTTTAAACTACTATTACTACTACTACCTGATATACTGTAAGCCAAGCTGCTGCTACTTCTACTTACTACTAGTGGCACCATCAGTGGGGGTTCTAGGAAAGCATAGGGCCCGATAATGTCGTAGAAGCTAATAATTTTCTGCTACTTCTATTCTGTTGTTGCATACTACAACAATTGCTACTGCTACTCAACTACAGCTATCTGTAAGGCAAACTATATGCTACTACTGCTACTGCTGTTAATGCTCATCCGACTACAATAATTAACCAAGTGCCTTTCCCGAATAGCACCAGCTCTCAAATAGGCTCTGCACCAAATATGATTTTTTTTTCTGTTAACCGTCGCTCTCAAATATGTGCACTGGCATGTATTCAATACTTTCTATTTTCAATTTATGCCACAGTGCTTAATCGAATTCTACACTGTTTGGTATCATTAAATATCACCGACGGGTGGGTCCTCGCCCTCGCCCTCTCACCTCCTGTCTCCCTGCTGACATAGTACCATTTTATAAAATTTAGTTTAGTAATAAGCGCCTCTCTTGAATAACCACCTTTGTTCAATAAACTCTTAATGTTGAAGCCTCCAAAAGATTAATAAAGCGGAAAGTGCTTATTTTGTCATTTACTTCTCTAAAGTTATTCTACTACTCTAAATTAATTAAATTATGAAATCTGCAGATACTCTTATACTAATGCTACAGTTTCTACATATACAACTTTCTTTGATTGCAGAACAATAACACTTACATACTCTTTTCTGTTGCAGCCAATCTTGGGTAATCAAAAAAGTAACAGTAAAGATATAGCTGTAGATAACAATGAATGTAGCATTCAAGTCGTGCCGTTAGAATATGTATCACGTTTGGCTGCGGACGGGAAATTGACATTTGCTGACCAAAGGTACGGCAGCTGATTAATATATTTACTTTAATATTTGCTTACATGATAGAGTGACTCAAAGCAGAATGCTTATGAGCACCTTGTGCATAAGCTGTCATAATCCAGACTTTAATTTTAATTTGACAAAAACATGTGACATGCCTAAATATGGTCATGATGTGATGTCATATATAGACACATCATGACTATATTTGGGCATACACAGGAGTGGATCCAGGGATGTCCAAAAGGGGGGCTCAAAAGTGGAGCCGACCAAGACAACACTACCCTGGGGGTCCAGGGCTTACCCTGGGGGTCCAGGGCTTCCCCCGAGAAAATAAGCAGCTTTCGATTTGGATGACGCAGCGTTCTACGACGGGCAGTGGACCGTGAAACCGTACTGCCCATGCGAATACATGGGGAAGTCGTTCGTTGTATGGATTTGACAACAGGCTACAAGCGATTTAGCGTTGTGTTGACTACGACAACGCGAGTTTCGTAAATACACGCTCGCTGGGGGCGCCTGCATAATTGATCACGCAATACGAGGGAGCGCGTCATCCTGTAAATCGAAACAGCTTTGATGGTCAGACGGGAAGTGCATAGTACCACGTTCACGGTTGACTGAATTCCCCGTCGCAGCTCCCCGCGTCGCCCATTTCGAAAGCTTGCCCAAATCTGCCCCTGATACATTAGTGTTTGTCAAATAAAATTAGATATTCTGGACAAAGGTTAATGTTTAGTGTTGAGCTTTTGCAAGTATAGACTTTATAAATTAATAAATTGATTTTTTTTCTATTGCAACATAATTTGGTAATGAGTTTACTCAGAATATTGAAATACAGAAAAAGCATGTCATGTGTAACTGAATATAGTGAGCCAAATTTGGAGGCTGTAATATTGCGTCACTAATAGAGATATGTAAGAAAAACATTCTTCAAAAAGGTCTTTGAATCCATAGTTGAACACTCTGGATGCAATCATCTCTAATATGACGATAATTGAAGGAAGGGAAGTATACAAACACATTCTTAATATTCTATATCACATAAAACAGTGATAAGTCTTATTGCTCTACGCAGCACATTTTCAATTACTGTGACATGCTTTTTAAATACAGGGCTCAGTAGAAATTAAGATACTCACGTCTAATGAAAGCTTTGTAAATAAGAACAAATGAATGTGAAGTTAGCGTGGAAAAACATTGTTTGATTATTCCCAATTTGCTTTCTTGAAAATTTATTGCATGTGCGCTAAAGGTTAATCAAGAGTCATAAATTATTGTTATTGTCTTTTTCAATTTTAATGTGTTGAATTGGATCAGCAAAGTCATGATTGGGAAATTATATTGCCCACAATCAAATAACCCATATAATCACCGTGCATTACCTTGCACTTAGGCTAGACTTTTTTATACTTTGTTTATCACAATATGACCACCAAAAATTGTGATTTTGAATAGGAATAAAATTTTACTTTTCTCCACGAAAAAATTTAAATTTTGTAAAAAAAAAATTTGATAATTAATCTAAACTTAGAATTTTTCGTTTTATTTTCATTTTAGTTCCGTTAGTATTGTTTTTAATATTGAATTATTTAAATAATACTGTATTAATTTTAATTTCATTAAAATTGATTGAAGCTAGTACATAATGCTTGACCAGTTCTGCATTCATTCAGATCTTGTTTATGTTGAGTGAATTAATTTGCATATAATTTTGTTTTGCCTCCATGTAGAGTAACAATAATTCTCGGATATCTTCCTCAAGAGTTTGTTGGAACATCTGTTTATGAATATTATCACATTGACGACATACCAAAAATGGCGGAATTCCATAAATCAGGTACGAGATTGTAAAATCCTGCACACTCCAAAAAGACTAAGTGAAGGCTTCTCTAGTTCAACTTATGAAGGTGAATGAGCTGTGTCTATTCTCTTAGTCTTTTTTGAGAGCGCATGATCAGGTCCTAAAAATACCCTTATATGCAATTAATTAGAAAAATAATTTAAAAAAGTGCTCAAATATGAACATATGATGTCATGTTCGTATCAAGCAATGCCCTTCAATGAAAGTTCCTGTTTTTTTTTCAGTTGTATGAAAAAAGGTGTTTCTGGCAGGATTTGAATCTGTAACCTCTCGCTGTCACAGCAACAGTATATATATATATATATATATATCGAAGATGCTTCAACAAGGTGCAAGATTTGCTAAATGAAATCATTGGGACATAAATCTTTTTGTCCATGGGAAACTTAGGAAGATTATATATCTTGTTCACCAGCTGTCTCTTTGATGTAATATTGAATTTGCCTATGCAGTCAACCATTCTCATTCAAATAAACACTTATTTCTAGAAAATAAAAGCTACATCTCAAAATATAAAATTTTACCTGTATACTTATATATGTACCATATTTATTTGAATAAATGCCACAGGGCGTTTATTGTTGAGAAGGGTTCTTGAGAGGGAATTTTTTCCAAGGGGACATTTATTCGAGGGAGGTTTTTATTTTTTTGTGTGTGTAAAATGGATATGTATATACTCAAATAAATGCCCTGTGGAACTGCAACACATAAATTACACATACGTCAAAATGTGTTATTGCATGATCATGAAGACCTACTGATCCCAACCAGGTTTGAAAAAATGTAATTCTAATGGAGTAGAATATTAATAGAATGTGGTGAGAATGTAATAAGAATGATGTTGCTTCCATTAGATTTGTTTATTTTATTTTTTGTTTTGGGTGGGGGGGAGTGTGTTTATCGGAGGAAAAAAATTAATGCCTCAGGCTGTTCATTTGAGGAAGGCGTTTATTCAAGGGGGTGTTTATTGAAAGCGAGGCGTTTATTTGAATAAATACACTATAAACTATATCTGTACATATATTGTGTGTGTATTTAAGGTAATATAAATGGATAGCCACAGTCTGTAGTGTGTGCATGATTAATAGAGACCAGTAGCCTGTTACAGACATGTGTATATATTTATGGAGACTGTAGCTTGTGTGTTGATCAATAATTGTGACACAGTCAACTCTAAACTGCTGCCTCTTACTATATAAAATTTATTTAGAAATTACTTGTAAATTTGAAAGACATAATATAATTTATAATTAAAAATAAAAGAATTTGCTGGAAAATACAGATTATTAAATAAAAATATGTTCATAATAATAATTTTTGTTTCATTTTCATTTTTTGGTATAAAAAACACTCAGAAGGCAACATAGAAATGTTGAAATTAAGTTGTTGAAAATTATCTGAATTTGCAATACAAGCAGAAGAAAAATACAGGACATCAAACGAATTAAATTTATGCCTAATAATAAACTAGAACATCAACATTTGCAAAAGATTATAAAAATTACTTAATACAACAATGATATATAGTAATTCAATAATAATAGTAATAATAGTTATTATTATAATAATATAATATAAAAATAGTAATAATAGTGATAATGTTTAATGATAATAATTATAATATAATGTGTTAGATTTTTATATAGCTCTCTACACAACTAATTCTTATTAGTGCTTTCTTTAGGTTTATGATTTATAACAAAACAAAATTTACTCTTTTTTAATTCATGTTTTTTTAGATGATAATAAATAATTTGATGTTTTTCTTTTAGTATCAGTTTTGAAGTTGTGGATTTTTAGTGTAATGAAATACACAAACAATCCTAGTTGATGGGACACTAAGCCGCCATATTCCGCAGTTCCTCTCATAATTTGAAAATAAATTGAGAAGATTAGTCAGAAATGCTTTATTAGAATCTGAAGGTTGTTAATTACGTAGTAGTAGGCACAGCTGTAAGACTTCTGTAGGCTTTCAATCTAAAAGTTTGTGTGTTCTAGTCTAGGGTAGTGGCATTGTGCAGCTGGTAATTTATCTATTGTCGTTATCTGATCTCGCAATAGGTTTTTTATTTATTACTCCGTTTACAGAGGTTATGAATGCACCTCTTTTTTTCTGTCCTTATGTTTGTTTTGAGGAGGATTATGCAAAAACTATTGAATGTATGATCATAAAATTGAGTAGAATTGTACATATTGGTTTGCAAGGAAGAAAGAATTATATTTTGGAGATGAAAAGGTCAAAATTCAAGGTCACAGAAAGTGGTCTGGCGGAGGTATGCATTCTATCAAGTGTCCATTCTTGTGTTTACTGGTTTAGGTGAGAGTTCATTCTACCTTGTTTTGCCAATGATTATTTGGGATGCTTGGTTTTTTTGAGTATATAGCACTTATGCAGATATACTGTATGCTGCGGTACTGGAAGTTTTCTGTAAAATGGAATGTGTTTGTTGTCAATGTAGCATTGTCAACAAACTACACAGTACTGTACCAGTAAAACGCTAGTTTCTGCAAAATACTCATGCTCATATCAGAAGCCTATGTTTTCTCCTGTTACCATTCCATGCCATGAGAAAGAAAGTTCAGTCCCAAATTGTTTACTTTGCAACTTTAGCATTCTTTCTAGTATTGTTTATTCAACCATGTTATAATCTCATTCAAGGACTAAAGGTCAATCTATGTTACTTTACACGTCTGCATTTATGTATTTGTTAGGAAAATTTTGTTTACATTTTCTCCTCTGCCTAAATCCTTTTGGCAAAATAATTTTGCTAAATCAGGAACTTTGACGATCTTCCAGATTTGCTAATCAGTGTATAATTTGTATCCCAAGTTGGGAGAAGTTACTATAGGGAAATCAGGTTTATAGAGCTTTCATAACAAATTCAGAAAATAATGAATGTAATAGTGAAAACATGCATACATTTCAGAGGGCCCAAGTTTCCCGGAACTCCCAGGAGTCTCCCGGAAATCAGTATGGTCTCCCACACTCCCGCAGACAGCAAAAATCTCCTGGAAATTCACTTATCTCCTGCAAATGCAGTAAAAAACTAAACTTTGGTTGCCAATTATTTTTTGCAGTCTGACAGTGCCATTTTCGGGCTTCTAAAGGTGCCTACTCTAAAAAAATGTACCTACACTTTTTCCTCATGGAATATATAGCGCCCCTAATGTCATTAAACGAATCTCCCGGAAATGTGACCCCTGACATTTTCATTTCAAATTTGGCGAATATGGTGTATATTCTTATACTTTTGAATCAACAGACGTTTACTCTATAACTTTAACATAAAATTTTTTGACGAAAAAGATTGATGTTTCGGGTCAGTCTTGGACATTGTGGTATATGTCATACATCGTATTAACATATCATGCATCAAGCTCACAATACATAAGCAACAAAAAAGTAGTTTATAGGATGCGATTTATAAAATTAATTTGTTAATCTGCAAGACTAGGAACACTCACTGAGGACTGGTGGTGTGGGTAATAAAATATGCATCTTAATCTAAAAGAAATAGCACTATATGTTAGAACTGAGAATTTTAATTTATTATAAAATGATTGTATTAAATGCATATTAGACCATTTGGTATAAACAAAGAGTATAAAATAGAATTTAAATAAGCGTATAGAAATGCAAGAGGTCCGACTCTCCATATTTTGCATGCACGAAATAAGACGAAAAACTACCATGAGATAATGGGCGCCCTTAGAATGCAAATAGAGTTAATCTTAAACATGCAGTCTATAGACACGTTCAATACAAATAACTTTTACGTTATTTTGAAGGACACCCTCTAGTCAGTGGTGGCGCCAGTAGGGTAAGCATAGGGCCCCTGTCGGGGAAGACGATATATTTTGTCGGGAACAAACAAATAAAAAAAAATATTTACATGTAATATTCGTTTAGCCACCATATTGTTTGTGTTAACTTTATATCACAACAACAACAATAACAACAATAATAATAATAATAATAATAATTCAATGAGACTAATTTAAAATAATTTGTGTTCTGTTATGACAAATGCTCATTTAGATAGCCTCATGATGGTTGGAATACATCGTATAGGTGAAGCAACCTCGACCATGACAACGTGGTTGACAGATTTCATGCAAAATGTCCAAAATATAGACTCTGAATTTCACCTTTAAAAATGAGAATTTGAAAATAAATTAGACGGTTACATTGCATACTCTTTGTTTCTTGTTTTATTCAAAATGTTTTGGTTTTGGAAGCTGATTTCAACATTAGAAAGCATAGCCTACATAAAGTCATATTATAGTATAACTCGAAGCCTATCAAATAAAATTTCGCCATAATTCATCAAATATCCGGTGCAGGCCCCCAGCCAAGCGAGACTCCATTCGCTCCACTAGCGATTTATCATAATCATCCTCATTGTCATCATCATATTTATCATTGTTATCATCATTATTAATATTCTTATCGTAATTATCACCATCCACATAATCATTATATTTATCACATTTGAATTTTGGGAAAACGCCGAACGTTTTACAATTGTGTAAAAAATGATAATCCAATTCAGCTTTAATGAAGCGTAGGGATATCTTCTCATACTTCCTAAGCAAACAAATTGGCAGGTCTTCCGAACTATAATCCTTAATGATGGAACCAAACGGACGCAAATTGATGAAAAATACAACACATTTTAAGAAAAGAACTAAGGATTTAATTGTAAACATGTTTCGGGTGTTCTCTCTCACCCATCATCAGTAAAAACTGAAAGGCGAAATAAACGGAAGGAAAAATTTTGTCATTCTTAACTAAGAGTATTTATACAAAGAAATGAATGAATATTAATTAGTGAAAACAAACTGTTACCAATTAAGGTAACGTAATAATCGTTCTAGATAATCATATGCGAGGTGTATAGAACACCTTGCATACATTATTTATCACATTATTTTTACTTTATCTTCATCAATATTAGTACTATTATTGGTAGTAATAATAATTATTAATATTATTGTATTAGTATAGCCTAAAATTCCGTTTAACCGAAAAATTAGTTTAACCTAAAAAGGTTCTTGTTTACCTTTTGTACAAAATACTCCAATTCAGCTTTTAGCTGCTATTGTATTTATTATGAAGGAGCTTTTGAATAAAGATACCGATTATATAAAATATTTGTCCTTCATTCATTGATTTTAAATAAAGTTCTCAAACATCTTATTTTTCTGGGTTTTTTTTGTTTTTTTTTTTTACTAACACCTTAATGAGATGAGACAGCGAAAAATCCCTAGCTGACAGATGAATGTGTTGTGGAATACATTTTGAAAGAGTGCATTCCAAGCTAAGAATTTTGCATGTAATTCTGTCTCACATAAGACATGTTTACAGTCTCCTTATAATCAACAGGATTAGTACAGATAAAACAGTCATGTAACATTCTTCTTGTATATTTTTATTGATATAGCACATTATGATAAGACATCTGTGCACTTTACATTATCATTACACCAGTCATTGGATTACAGTAAATACCTATGGAACACAAACTCCACTCACTTGGGGAGTATTTCACAATATTTGCTGCAGCTAATCAGTACATTTGGCATTCTAACCCCACCAGGTACCCACTTATACTCCTGGGTGGAGAGAAGCAGTGCAGATAAAGTGCCTTGCTCAAGGACACAAGTGAAATGCACAGCAGTATTCTTGCAGTATTAAGGAGTACAGTAAATTGAATATCTATTAAAATTTAATTCCCATGAGTTCATCCAATACAGTTAATGTGTTTTATAAGGCAGTGGCTATATTGTTACACCAGTCATAAATGAATTTAATTCTGGATGGATTGGGAAAATAACATGCAATCAGAATTAGAAATTCATGTTAAGACTGGTTTAGGGATAGCCATTGCCTTTTTAAGTACAGTACTACTTGGAACTGTGCCTTTTTAACAAGATAAGAAACTTTATTGTCTATCATAGTATGTTCGATATTCAATATCCATTTTGTGTACAAAATACAAAAATATAATGTCAAATTACGACAAATAAGCCCAAAAAATTGAAGTGCAGAATTAACAAGTAAACAGCCGCAGCTGGTGGATGTTCTCATCTTTCTTTCTTTGTTTTTTGGGGGTTTTTTTCAGTATTAACGAGTAAAGAGACACAGCAAGTGGAATATCTATTCAAAGCGAAAAATGGAGAATTTCTCAAGTTTCATTCCAGAATGTTCTGTTTTCGAAATCCGTGGACGAAAGAAATAGAATATATTGTGTCAACTAATACAACCATCAAGTATGTATAAATCTATGTGATGTGTGTTTTAATAGTGAAGGGAAAAAATTCTCCATCTACTAATTTCTGTATGTCTGACATTAAAAAAATTATAACTTATAAAAATAAAATTATATAACTATATTTTTCCCTTTTTTCAGTTTAGAAACTAATATACAGCAATCAAGTAACAACACCAAATCTCAACTACAGAAAGCATTAAATGATACGAGTAAGCCTTGGAATTTTTGTTTTTGAGAACAGTATTTGTTTATAGGATAGTGTGTGTGTGTGTGTGTTTATATATACACATGTGTTTGCTTACTATGTTTATTATATTAAGTAATGTGTTATAATTTGGATTATGGCCTACTAACTCATTTCTCTATCTTGCTACTTCTTTAAAACCTGTTTTCCAGTAGGCAAATTTATTCGCGCGAATCAAAGGCGTCGGTTCGGTTCCTGAGCTCTGATTGGTTGCGCACTTTTTTTTCGCTTCGCAAAAGTGAAAACAGTTTAAAGTACCGATTTCGCTGAAGCGAAAAACTCTGATAGAAATGTGAATACGCATACGCATGAACGGACGCTTTCGACTCGCGCGAAATATATTCGCAAGTGGGAAACATGTCGAAGGTTGCACCATGTCAGTTGCAACTTTTGTCAAGTCTGCGTCAAGGACTGAACCACAAAAACCTGGGTAACCTCCTGCTCTTATCGAAGGCTATTGTAGGTTTTTTGAAGTGCACATAATAGGGATTGTGAGCACTGAACCCACAGTTCATAGACCTTATTCAAGAAAGAGTTGTTTCACTACCAAAAACATGAGCAAGCCTGTTTAAAGAACAATATTTGAGAAATCAGCCTTCAAAGTTTATGCTTTCAGGCATTTCTCAGGCAGAAACCATCACCAAAATCGTTAAAAATTATTGTTTTAACATTGAAAATTGGAAAAAATAACAGCATAGCCTAATATAATTTAAAGGTTAGTTTTGGCAATAAAACAGATTTTTAAAATGTTGACATACCAGCATGTTTTGGCCTTTATCTCTGAAAACAGGATTTGCGACAAGTGACTGGTTTGGCTTGTCTTTGCCACACATTGATAATCATAGTTTATTTTGAATATTATAGAAGCTGTTAATGAAGCAAGTGAAATTCTTGGTCTTCCTGTGGGAACAAGGATAGGTGCTGGAAAAATAGGTCGTATGATAGCGGATGAGGTTATGGAACTAGAAAAGTGAGGATTTTGAAAAAATTTTGGTGTAATTTAATAATTTATTCTTTCATTTTTCAACATATTTTTAGGATACATTCAATGGAAGCAAAAATTCTCTGTATTACTAGCTTATTTACCGTATTTATTTGAATAAATGCCCTACATTGAATAAACACCCACCCCTTGAATAAACAACCCCTCTAGAGCCCCCCACAAATAAACGCCCTCTCTAGAGCCTCATTTGGAATAACCCCACCTTGAACAAATTCCCCCTCTAGAGCCTCATTTGGAATAAACGGCTCCGAGGCATTTATTTTTTTTCGAATAAATGACTGTAAACAACAGAAGTAACATCATTCTCAACACATTCTATTCATGTACTACTTCAGTAATATTACATTTTTTCTATCCTAGTTGGGATTAATAAGTCTTTATGATTGCACAATAACATATTTTGACGGTAATCAATAACATATTTTGACGGTAATTATGTGTTGTATTTCCAGATTTACAGTGAAATTAAGGGCATTTATTTGAACATATACGTATCCACTATTATTTATTCAACTTACATATACGTATCCATTTTACACCAAAAAAATTTAAAACTTCTTTAACGCCTCCCTTTAATAAACGCTCCATCAAAACCCTTCTCAACAATAAACATGAATAATTTATTCTTTGCTGAAATAAAATTCTAATTGCTTCCTGTGCACAGAAGTGAAACGTCAAGTCTCGGAGAGAATTCCTTGAAGAATTACAGCACAATACATAGAAGTCCAAGTATCTTGTCCTCCCAATCTTTCACATACTCATCTGATTCAGCAAGTTTGGATATATCATTGAACTCGTGTGGTAAGTAGGAAGAAGCAGAAATATTTTATTGAATTATAAGAATCTATTTTACCTGGAAGTGTGGGGTACTCTCACTGGGGACCCTGAATAATGGCTTGTGAGCATAACCCAAAAAACTGAGATTTATAGTTGAAAAAATGTTAATATTCTTATTTTCATTCTACAATATAAGCTGAGCACTCACTACGGCCGGTTGGTAGATTCTATATATAATGCAATGCTACGACTTGCATAAATCGGATCGTTTTTATTAACAGTCCGTTCAGATAGTCAATGGCAATCAGCAAACGGTGTTGTGTCGTCTAGCGTGCATAGGCGGCAGAGTTGGACCATCGTACGATGCAGTGAATGCCTGACTTGTTGCTTTAATCTTCAAGAATTAAACGTCCACGACATAATTCTCTTTACATCTGTAAACACTCATTATTTCATACACCACACTAATTAGAGTATTTGATTGACATCTAATGGCTTCTTATCCCTTTTTTATATTATATGGCTGATGATGGATTCAATGCTGAAGCATCACAAGTTTGAATTACTCAATAAAAATAAACACAGTGTATAATGTTTGTACGTCCACGACATTTTAAACGTCCACGACATAATTCTCTTTACATCTGTAAACACTCATTACTTCATACACCATACTAATTAGAATATTTGATTGACGTCTAATGGCTTCTTATCCCTTTTTTATATTATATTGCTGATGATGGATTCAATGCTGAAGCATCACAAGTTTGAATTACTCAATAAAAATAGACACAGTGTATAATGTTTGTACGTCCACGACATTTTAAACGTCCACGACATAATTCTCTTTACATCTGTAAACACTCATTACTTCATCACCGTGCTAATTAGAGTATTTGATTGACATCTAATGGCTTCTTATCCCTTTTTTATATTATATGGCTGATGATGGATTCAATGCTGAAGCATCACAAGCTTGAATTACTCAATAAAAATAGACACAGTGTATAATGTTTGTACTGGTTTAATCATGTCACCATGCGTATCATAAACGTTATATTCAATGGGCTAATATTCGACTGGTTCATTTCGTTGAGTACAAATTTTCGTTAAAATTTTGAGTATTATTTTCATTCGACTGGTTCGTAAAATAGACTTCGTTGACTGACAACGAAAATTAACGGAACCAGAATGCATTAATCTACGTTAAGTTATGCACGTGACCAAAAAAAATATTGGTCAGTTTAGCAACATCATTTGTGTTAATATAATTTAGATTAAATTTAAGAAAATAAAAATAATATTTACCCACCTCGAAGTAGAAAAATAATTGTAGGCTAACAGAATTCAAAATCTGGATGAAAACATTTTTTTTTACAAAAAACCCATAGTACCACAATCTGAAGCAGCCTTGATTATGCAGCGTGTATCACGGTAACAATGCAAGCATTCAAGTATGAATAAAATATTAGATGAATAAATAATGAATAATAATAATAGCAATAAAATAGATTTTTAAAAATTTGACATTCCAGCATGTTTTGGCCATTTACTCTGTAACACGATTTGCGACGAGTGACTGGTTTGGCTTGTCTTTGCCACATATATCATTTTAAAGCTTATAATGTGGAGAACATGAATTTATTTAAAATATCACTTTTCTTATTTTGTTCACTGATGGTGGTTTTGCCATGGCATGCCCCGTATTTTACTTGAATTTTATGTGGGTGTGTGATAAATTAAGTAAAAGAATGATGTTTATATTTACAGGTTTTATAGCATCATCCGGTAGGATGACGCAGGCTAATCAATCATCAGCGAGTTGTGCGCCAGTGAGACAAAACCAATCACATAGCTCGGTACAAAATCTTCTTGAACTGTCATCGAATGCTCCATCACCGAGCCCGTTGGGGAAGGAAACAGGAGAGAACATTGGTGGGGGTGAAGATGAAGCTGCGATGGCATTCATAATGAGCATGTTAGAAGCTGATGCAGGACTGGGAGGGTCAGTGGATCTAACTGAGATGCCCTGGCCATTTTAATAATAAAAGATGAAATCTTGAGGGGGAAAAAAACACAAAAATTCAAAGGAAACTTCCAATTTTAAACACAGAATGAAACAATTCAATTTTCACTGATTTACAGACATTTTACTTTGAAAATCTTAAAAATTTATTACCAGTAATTTCAGGGTCTATGCAAAAAATATGGGAATTGTATTAAATATACATGTGTAAATTGACAAGGATATTTATATTTTTCATTTTGAATAGGGTATTTAACTATACTATACCGGTTTCCCGCCATTTAAAGACCACTTCTGGGACCTAGGTTTCCATTGGTCTTTGATTTCTTAATTAGAATGAGAAAGATATTAAACATTGTTAATTTAAAGTGGTCTTTAATTGCAGGCCTGTAGGCAGAAGGGTGCAGAAAGTGTGGTTGCACACCCCGCTCCCCACAAAAAAAAAGGGGAAAAAAGGGTTCACTTTTCACCTATTATTTCACAAAATGGTTGTCTATAGGCCTACAGAAGGACGTAAAACGGTATGGTATTTCTTCACGTCTCTAAAAATACAAATTAACGAAAATTTAAATCGAATATTCACGAATGGGTTTGAGAAATGAATTATGTAAAGGCCCTCAAGATGCTACTTTGTTGAAGCTTCTGGGGGATTCCCCTCCCCCAAAATCCCTCTCCAGGCTCCTGTCCAAGACCCTCAAATTCTAAAATGTCCACTTTTTAAAACCTATTATTTCACTAAAAACGTTCCTAATTACAGTGAAATGCTACAGTATAGTATGCTTTGAATTTTTGCCAGCTCTTCTAACCGTCGATTTTTAATAACTGTGGTACAAAATTTGTTGGAAATGATTAGCTACAATGATTGCAGATTGATCCATTATGAACAATTTTATCTGTAGGCCTACAGATGTAAAGGACATAAAAACAATATTTCTTCAGGTCCCTACAACACCCAAATGAATGGAAATTTAAAAAGAATATTCACAAATTATGGGTTTCAGACCTCCAAATTCAAAAGCTTATTTTTTTTAATGCCCTTGTAATTCAGTAAAAACGTTCCTAAATGCTATAGTTACTAGCTATAGTATGGATTGCATGTTATTTGCCAGCTCTTCAAGCCATTGATTTTTAAATAACTGTGGTATGAAATTTGTTGAAAATTATCAGCTTCGCTCGCAAAATGACCTCCCTATTAAAAAGATCCTGCCTGCGGTCCTGAATTAGATGAGTCTTTAATTGGAGAGATCTGTATAATTATGCAATTCCAATACGGAATGATATATTTTAGCTCATTACAGAAGATATATAGCACTTGTGACCAGCTGACTGTTCATAGTATATCCTGATGTATGAATAAAAAGAAAACCTTATGTAGGAATTCATTACTAAAGCAGTATATTTTTATGACATTATAAAGATATTACCAAGGTGCCTTTAAAAGAAAGCAAGCAGGTTTTTTTGCATCAGGGATGAATAGCCAAAAATTGTCTGTGACACTGACAACTAAAAAATTATAGATAACAGAAAGATGTGGTACGGGCTCATAACTTCCGGAAGAACGGTCCTTAGAAAAATGCAGTGACGGCATGAAACTACTTCCAGAGTAGGATTAAGACCAAGTTGGCTCGTGGCAAAAAAATTTTTGGCAATCGTCAATTGTTTGGTAGCTCATTCCAGGTATAAGAGATGTAATAAATAAAATATATAAATATACATTGAAAAAGAAATACCTGTATTGAAAATGTATACATCATAGTTACCAATCTGAGATATTTGAAATGCGTGACTACACCAGTTGGGTGGGGGGGGCCGTGCCAGGAGTCAGGGGCTGAACCCTGGAGGCTGGGGCGGAACCTTGGAGGCTGGGGCGGAATCCTGGAGGCCTGAGTTCCAATCACATAATCAACGGTTGGTTGTGACAATGAACGCACAAAATTGCACACGACTACTAGATTCTACTAAGTGTATGGTTGGCTGGGTTGTTTTGGTCGGGAAAGAGAAATTTTCTCGATAAATTGATTCTTGAACAAGATAACAAAAACTCTTTAATGACTCAACCTACTGCATGACCGTTTTTATATTTTTTAATAATACTAATTTCTTCTAATTTTAAATACATTTTCCCTTGAATTTGAAATCACTTTGAAATGCGGGACTGTCCCACACGATGCAAGACGGTTGGTAACTATGATACATTAAAAATACATAGTAAGCATCTACAGATATGGAATAATGAGCATTCTAGACATAATTGCATTGCACCCGATGATGGTCCAGGTTAGTCGAGAAATCTGTGATGAAAAATAAAGCAAGTCGGTTTAGATTACATTTGGTTGAAAGGCCTCTGAACATATAAAGAGGTAGAAAATAACACGTTGAGCTGAATTGCATATGGGCATGGTCCGTGACAACTGCAGCAGCCTTAGAGAGGTGCTAAGTTCACATCATGTAATGAGACACTTTATAATGATATTGTTAATACTTATCCTGAAGTTAATATTTTAAGTAATTCTATTAACAAATTTAGAAAAATTATATTTGATTACCTTGGGTAATTTTTCTATTGTTACTTTTTATTGTGCAATAATTTTTTATTAACTTCATTTTTCTTTGTATGTCATTGTTTTATATTTCTTGTTTGTGTCCGTTCTTATTTTGTCTGTGTCTTTTTAAGCCAGTAAGTGGCAATTTATTTATTTTTATTTTCTTTGTATTTGAAATAAAATGAACAAAGAGGCAATGATTGCACCAGGATCTGCCTGACAGAGGGGCTGATTTTTATTCCTCTACCAAACCTTCTCTTTTCTCTGATGGGTGGGGAAGTGGCTATAGCCCCTCATTCCCCACTGCAAAGAGGGGTTATGAAGGACATTTTAAGTTGTATATATATATATATAACAGATATAAATTGCAAGAGTTGGAAAATGTATGCAAGTATTTGTGAGCTTTTGTAAGCCATATATTTTGAAGCATTATGGATGTGCACACAATTGTTATAATTTGTTTATAGTGACTTTCTATATGCAGCCTTCAATCAAGCAAATACTCCCCTAATACAATGGGGAAAGTGCATTTGTGTGTGTATATAAATATATATATTTTGTGCTCAGAAGCTTTAAATAAAAATGAAATTTGTGAGTATTTTTTAATGTTTTTGTATATACAATTTTACCAGTAGATTATTTTGTGCGTAATCAAAATTGGAGAAAGTCATGACCTTGCGTGGGTGACAGGAGTTAAATTTCAAACCTTGTTTAATATACATGTTTAGGAAGGAAGCAAGTAACAGATTTTAAATCCAATAAGTGAAGCACATGGTCAGTGAAATTTATTATCAATTAATATGTTACAATACAGAAACATGGTTTGGAAACTTAGTAAGAAAAAAAAAATCAAATACAGTACAAGTAAGGCTTAACAAAATGATTGAAAGGCATGGGAAATTTAACTGGATTTAGAGTGCATACTTCTCAAGTTCTATAGAACATAATAAGATGGAAATTTTTGGTTAATTATGGATGTTTACGGAAATAGACAATTTGAAGATACTACGGAAATTCATCATTATTCCTAGACCCAGAAATATATAGGTTTACACATTGTCGAATGTCCAAGACAACATTTTTTCTATCAGAACCTTTGGATACACTGTCCTTACAGACCCATAAATCTTCATCCTGTCCAGTTCGATTGAAATTCCACAGCCCTTTTTCTAGTGTACCTGCAACTTTGACAACCCAAATCTTGGACTCGAGGCAAATTATTAGCTACTACGGTAATCTGTAGACAGTCACTGAAATGCATTTTACTAACTTGAGAAGTCTGAGAGTGGTTAGGAGAGATTGGCAAATTTATATTTTTAGTCCAATGGTGGTGAGGCAAATAGCCTGCCTGCTGTGTTTCAGCCTTTTGGCTTGATTTGAAGCACATAGCATTTTACTAAGTCTCTCACCATATATTAATGTTAATATGAACACTTCCACACCCTGGGGAGGAGTCGTCAAATAAATATATTTGCTAATCATTATGGTAGAATCCTGCATTCATCCGTTAAGGCTGTTACATTCCAAGTGTAAACCACATACACGTAAGACACAACCAAATTGAGATTTCAAATTGCTTTCTATCTCCTATGTTAAAATATTACAGTCTGTCCAATATGCATACAGAACCCACTGTCTCAAGTGAACAGCAAAAAGGATCTGCATGTGTTGGCTGACTGCCATGCTTGACTGATTAAGCCTACACAAGTGCAAGAATATTTATTTAGTTTGTAGATACAACTGAATCTGTTTAACAGTCATGTCAACCAATAATTGATCTGCCAATGTATAAACAAAATCCAACTCCCCCACCCCTCTTACAAGATATGTTTTCTTTCCGATTAAAATGAAACCCGTTTCATATGAATTATACTCAATATTTACTACCCACAGGTAATATTTTTAGCTTGTTTTTTAGTAATACAATATTGACATATGTAATTTCAGTATCAGGTTTATACTAAAGTTTATATAAAAAGGAAAATGGAAAAAAACTAAAGTTAGACACTTTTATGACAGTACACTATACAGCTAGTGATTCTCTTGTAGCATTAAAAATTCAGTTATTTCAATGATCTAATCACTATCATCTGCTGATTGTTCTGCTTCACTGGCTTCCTGATTGGCATCTTCACCTGATACTTCACCTCCTGACGCTTGTTCCTCGCCCCCTGATGCTTGTTCCTCGCCCCCTGATGCTTGTTCCTCGCCCCCTGACGCTTGTTCCTCACCAGAATCTCTTTCAACGTCATCATCTGACCCTGCTTCTTTCACTTCTTCATTATCTGATCCGGCATTTGATTCTTCACCACCTGACCTTTCTTCATCTGACCCTTGAGCTGACCCTTCGTTGGAATCTTGGGCTTCCACATCAGATGCTTGGTCTGACCCCTGACCTTCCTCTTGATCCGATCCATGATTCTGGTCATTAGCGTCAGAGTTATCAGCACCTGATTCATTAGCCTGTTTTTCGTCGGCCCCACTTTCATCGCTGTCAGAGGAATCGGATGCAAGTCTGCGGCGGATGCGTCCACGTGGTGCTGGAGTTTTCTTTTGCTCTCCATCACTGGCACTGAATTAGAGAAAATAGGAAATGTCAAAATTACAACTTTGAAACATAACACACACCACATATCTATTCTATACAACTGAAGGGAAAATTAGTGTCTTAGTAATTAATATACCAATAAAAATACCTGTACTCTTCTTCAACGATTTTGAGTTTCTCGCCATCTGATTCAGAATCACTGGAAGATACCATAGCCTTTGATTTCACCTTCCTACGCTGCGCGGCAGTCAGTTGGTCCGATTCCTTCTTTTTTGGTTTTGGGGCTCTGCGCTCTTTGCGCGATTTACGAGGCGCTTCTTCATCGTCGTCATCATCGTATCCTTCTCCACGCTTCCTTTGTCTGTTAGCAAAACGAAATTAATTTTGTTAACTTCCTTGCAATGTATTAGCCACAATGGCTGAAAAACATTACTTCCCCACATCAGAGGCATGCGAGTCATTGAAGTTACTTAACTTGTTCCCTGCATCCCCAGTGCAACACAGGTCCTACAAAAAATCCATTCCCTTGTACATTTACATTTAGTAGTAGCTGGACAACAACTAAGTAGAGGACGGCTGGGCAGGGCCGATTATGGAGAAAGGATTTGATACCCTGTAGTCATGTAGGCTTGCCTAGAATCTTGAAAATGACTGGCTAAACTAGTACCCTTACATAGTCCAATAGCTGTGGATTTCAATCGATTTTGGAAACCTCACAGAGTAACTTTAAGGTAGTTTGCTAGTTAGCAGTCGATGAGAAGGTTTATGAAAATTGATTAATTTATTATTTTACCTTTTTCTTTTCTTGCCTTTCCTCTCTTGGCCATCACCTTCATCATCACTCTTCTTTCTTCTCTTCTTTTTTGGTTTTGGCCTTTCTTCATTTTCACTCTCACTGCCTTCGCTGAAGATTTCTCCATCTTTTGATCTCTGTTACATGAATATATCAATATTCGAAACCACATGAATACCTTTGCAAACTTTAACATGCAAATAAAAATGAGTTACTTTTTATAAAAGACTGATGTATATTATCAATTTAAGCTTAAATAATTTAATAATGTATTAGTTACCTTTCCCTTTCTTCCTTTTTTTTCTGGTTTGATCTCTGGAAGGATAAGCAGTTTCTTGGTCTTCTCAATAAACTGCGCTCTCTTCTCCAACATTTCTTGCGCCTTCTGTTGCTCAGCTTGTTGCTTAGCAAGCTAATTAAGGGGAAAAAAGTAAATGGATGAAGGCCTATTATGCCAGAAGACAATCCCCTTCTTTTTTTCGGATAATAGAAGGTAGGAGAATAACCCATAGCTTGTGTAAGATCAATGTGCTGAATTGTGTATGGACTAGTCTGTGACTACCTAACGGCCGTAAAGAGGTGTTTATAGGATCTACATGTTCACATCATTCCGTGACACGGGCTGAATTGAACCATAGCATCAGAGTAACCCTTCCGAATGATGTAATGGATCATTTACATTGCCAGATGTGTACACTGACTTCCATTTTAAGTCCTTATCCGAAAAGACTTGGTTCTAGCAACTGAATCATGAACAAGGAGCAGCTTGAAACCAGCACCGATGTTATGGCTGTAGTTAGTGGCGCCCCCTGCCTTACCACTCGGCCACTCAACTCGCATATAAAGATCTTTTAAATTGCTCCAAACGCTTGACTCACATGAGCCAACGGTTACTCAAATTATAAGCGATTCAGAGCCTCTACCAAAAGATTGTGGGCCACAGTAAACAATGCAGTTCAACCCTCCAGCTAAAACCAAGGAATGAATCAAGATGTTATCATTCCTGACGATGACATAATTAATGTTGAAATATTGAATCCCAACACGATGGCGTGCATTTCGATACTTGACGGATCAAGATAAATGAATCGGGGATTTTTATTGTTTAGTGAGTAATACCAGTTTAGCTGAATGAGCTATGCTGCCTCTGTAGTGGTTATACCCTTTGAGCTTGTCTGTGATGTACATGGAGAAGTCTTACCTCTTCCTCTTGGTGTTTCTGGCGAAGTGCTGAACGTTCCTCTTCCTGTTTTTGTCGGATGGATCTCTCTTCTTCGTCCTGCTTACGAGCTCTTCTTACATGGTACTGTGCTTGATTCAGGAGATCAGAGCATTGCCTGTAAACAAGAAAGTTAAGTCATCAAAGTCAAAGAGAGATTAGGCTTGCTCTAATTATAAATGTGGCAGGGTTTGTTAGCATCTTTCATGCTATCAAAATATGTCAGTAATAAGAAAATTGAATTGTTACACAAGTCAAAACAATTTAGATTTCAGTAATTTACATTCTTTTTAATATGAAAATCCAAGTAAAAAATTAGAAAAGTTGTTCATTTTATTTTTCTAATTTTCAAATGAAAGCTACATGTACTAACATGAATTTCCAAACACATATCATAAGTCTACTACAGAATCATGCTATACAATACTTATATTTATTCCATCCCTATATTTATTTCATCCCAACAGGACAAACATTGTGCAAACACTAATAACAGGGTACACTCGTAATAATAAAACTTAATATTATATGCATGTTATTACTCTCTCATACGTCATTTTATTCATTTTTCTGTGTCAAAGTCTTGTTCACCAACCTCAATTTTTCTGGAGTTCGTCGTTTATTTTTTTTAAAAATAAATATTGTTATTAAAATAAGCCTTGAAAAGACTTGAATATAATAATTATATGTTTTGTACTAAATGTGGCATATGCTGCAAATCTCAACTGATGTTCATGACCATATATAGTCATGATGCGCATATATATGGACATGGTGTGATGTCATCATGACCATATATAGGCACATCATGATTATATATGGACAGGGCTCAAGGATGACCTTATAACTTTATTAGCATATTATTCTGAATTGTTTACCTAGCTTCAGCTGCAGCTTTGTTGAGGTCAAACCTCATCCTATCCCCTGCTTTGCTCAGGTATGTGAAGTACCGCTGAGCCGTCTCAAGCTCGGAGACGGCGCTAAGCACCGTCTTCAGATTACTCTTCTCCTGCTTCAATACGCTAGTAGCAATACGCTGCAGCACCAGAGCAAGGTTGAACAGTAGAACCGAGTCGTGAGGTGACACACGCCGGGCCTAGAAAACATAATGTTACAGATTAGGCCGCCCTCCAATATTGATAATTTAGAATAAAAATTAAATTTTATTTTTGGCCAATTAGCGCACCCACCACTGCGAAAAACTGTAAATTTCAGAAAAAAAAAAAGTTTCTCTTTATTTTTATTACGCCCACCGCTGCCTTGAAATCTCCAAAAATAAGTATATTTCTTCCTATTTATATAAATTTAAAGCATTAAACCATCCAATTACTACACTTTTTACATTCAACAATAACATTTTATTTTTATTTATCCTCCAAGTTCGCAAAACAAGGAATAATAAAAAGGCTCGCCTTATGATAAAGTTAATTATTAGCTGTGAATAATTTTATTTATTTTTCAAATTGTGTTGCAGCTTTGGCATAGGCAACATTTTATGTTTGTCTTTCCTTATTAGATGAGATTAATTTTGAAATGAGGTCCTGGTGATGATTAATGAGCTGGATGACTAGGAACACTCCCCAGATGGCGAGGAAAAAGAAGTATTTAGAACATGGTGCGTGCCAGTTATGTGAATCCAATTAATCAGTGTCTGCATAGGTTTTTGTAAATACAGTAAATAGAGCTTTCTATTTGTTAAGAAATGTATAGATTATGAAATAACAGAGGGGGAAATAAATTATGGGAAGGGCCAGGGCAAACAGAGAGGGAGCAGAGGGAGTGTACTTACCTTGAGAAGAGCATACTTGCATTCACGTAGTTTACCGGCCTTGAAATAAGCTCTGGCCAGGTACGATAACACCTCAACGTTATGATGTTTGTAAAACTTCTTGATACAGTTCTCATACTAAAATAACAAAATATGTAAATATATAAATTATGAAGTAAAATTAATTAACATAATTAATCTACTGTATAAAATGTATAATAGTATAAACATTATCTATTATTAAGAAATTATGAATTAAACAATAGATTTCAAAAAGCTATAGTTTGACATCATGCCATATAAATGGCGAATATGGAAAGATACAATTTGACTTGTAGTAGTGTTTTTAAATGTTGTGACAGCCACACTGGCAGCGGCAGAGTTGGTAGCAGCAGGTGTACTATTGTACATCTGTCTTGGTTTCGATTGTGCATTCTAATACTTGATTCTTTTTTTTTTAAGTGCTTCTTATGTATGTGATCTTTTTTGGAAAGGTTCCTTCAAAATGTTGAATACTAATTATCATTTATTATTTGTTCAGATATCGTACCATTTGAATTGCACTGATGTACTGTCTCTGTTCGACATATATGTGCGCCAAGTTCAACCACACATCACTGACATCTGCTGTTGCTTCACGAACCTGAAACAAGGATCAAAACAAAGACTAGTTAAAACACTGCTTCATCACAACATTGATCAAAATACCTAGGCTAAAGTATTTTTTATACTCTGTTCACAGCAATGAATAGTTGCCATATTTTGATTCCACAATTCTATTCTGTACCTGTGAAAATATGTCTCTGGCCTCTCTCATATAGCCCTTCATAGCCAGAATAGACCCTACGCCATTGGCTGCGTACAAATTCCTTTTATCCAATCGTAATACTTGTTTGTACATCATCAATGCTCGGTCCTGATGTCGTTTTTCCTGCCAATCAAAATTTAAATACAAATTAAAACAGATGAAAAGAGTGTATGTATCTATATATGTGCATTTTCAAAGTTAAAATAAGAATATGTTAGGAATATTTGTTGGTGAGATAATTATACTCAAGACTTTCATATTTTCATAATCAAATGAGGATGAATCAAGTGTAGTTCATTACACCTTTTCTTTGTCCCTTGTTGGTTGGTAGAGGGTTTGTAACCAGACATTACCCAATGCTAGCAGGGAATACGTATCATTCTGTGTTGAGGTTTGCTTGATGATACGTTCAAACTTCTTCTGTCCAGGTCCCCACTCCTGCTTGGCTAAATGCAGGTTGCCGATCAGAGTCCAGGCATCAGGGTGGTCCTAAATAAAGAAAACAAATTCCAATAAATTAATAACAATGACGACACAAAATAGAATGAGGAGGTGTATATGTTTTTTGGGTTTTTTTTGGTTTTTTTTGCGCACTCTTAAATGGAGATAGGTAGCTCCATTATTTTCCAGGAGAAATTCTGGAAAAAAAAAAATCACAGAATAGACAGGTATTTTTCTCAATTGAATTGAAATGTATCAAACTGTCTGAATAAAAATAAGGCAATAAAATTACCATCCTAATAATACCAATAAAATGATGTGGTTTATTAGGAGAAAAGTTACATTATTAAATATGATGTACATTTTGTTTGGTAATCACATACCTGATTGATTGACAGAGCCTCTTTGAACCAATCAGAAGCTTCATAGATTTGTCCTCGGTCACGTGAAATACAACCTAATCTAAGGTAGCCTGTAAAGAAATTAAAAGTGAGAATAGGTCATTTAGCTTGTTAGTTTGTTGAAGGGAACACCTTTCAAACCAAAAAATAGTCATAAACAAAAGAGTCAAGCCATTACTTACAGTCAATGTAATTAGGATGGTCACCAAGAATGGTCTTGTAGTGCTTCTCTGCCTTATCATAACGGCACATTCCCTCGTAAAGACGGCCTAGGTTGTAGGTGGTTGTTACTGATATAGCGCTGTAGTATGTCTCATCATGCGGTGACTCGCTTCGTGAACGCTCGAGTGATGCTTCATAGTAACGCTGGGAATATAGCATTATTAATAATTATCACAATTATTAACAACATTGTTAATTAATTTTGTTACTCTAATATATATATATGTATCAATAAACCTCATTTTCCTCACCTTTGATTCTTGAAGGTTACCCAGTCGGTAGTGCAGGGCCCCTACATTGTTGAGAATCTCGGGGGGAACATCGGCTTGTACCTTTTCCTTCAGAATCCTTGTGGCTGTTCCATATGCAGACAGGGCACCCTACAGGAGCAAGGGAGAGATTACAATTGTACTAACTAAAATTGAACAATCAATCAATATTTCAATACACTGTATACTGCATGTTTGTAGCCCTTTGTTAAACAATTTAATTATTATTAGCTCAAAAGCTGGATTTCATGGCAGTGCTTACATGATGATTACTGGGTGTAGGTGCTCCCTAGGCAGGATCTAGTATAAGCTACTGGGATAAATTGGAGCTAAAGTTAAGTTAAAATATGACACACCATGTTTGAAATAAACTTATCGAACCTGAACATCCGTAATCTCCAGAATCTGTGCCAGTTCAATCCAGGCTTCCACATCGTCTGGGAACTGGTCGACAACTTTCTGAAGATGGCCTTTGGCGATTTCCCTTTTTGCTTCATCCTTTGAGGAAGCATACAGCGAGCCAAGAATCTTCATTGTCTCATAGTTGCCTGGCTGAGCTTTCAACACTTTCTCAAAGCACTGAGCAGCCTATTACCAAAAAATACATATAATTATTTATTCATTTGGCATCTTTGCCCGGGAGAAACCCACTGTCGCTGGAAGGATGTGACTCCCTGTATCATATCTTTTAATACACCTTTTTTTTTCTTGCTAATTATTTTGGCTTTGCAAATGTAGATGTTTTGTCCTTCAAAAAATGCTTCAAAAAGTCTTTGGGAGGGGGGGGCCTATTAAAGGGTCATTCACAACCCACCAGCCCAACACCAAAATATTTTGTGTGGCAGTGCGGTCAGTTAATGTGAGATGATTTTATTTAGAGAATAATCGTAAAGTTGCTGAGCCCAAGAGAACTGGGATCGCAAGCAGACCATCCTACCCACCAGGCTAGAATTCATTAATGATATTGGCTTCAGTACACAACTAATTTTTGTACTTACATTTTCGGAGTCTCCTCTGTAGATATACATCTGCCCCAAACCAAAGTGCGGTAGTACAAACTGAGATGAAGCAAACTGAGTTGACTGATAATAATACTGGAAAGCCTGGTCAAAATCACTCTGAAAACGTATAAAGAAAAAATAGGCAAAACTATACAATAGGCAATAAACTGTTGAATGTACCCGAAGTATTATTAGCAAAATTGTGTAAGCATAAAAGGCCCATTTTTAGTTTTCAACAGATTACTTTCCATCTCAAGTCACATTATGGGATCCCTAAATGTGTATCCAGGTATTTCCTAGAATAGGGTTCAAAGTCTGATCCAAAGAAAGATCTAGGGTTTATCCAGGATACTTTGATGCAGAATAATTAATTAGGATTAATTGTAGGAATCATGACAGGGTACTGGTTAGTTAAGACCCTCTCCCACTATGGGGTTTTTTCAGCATACGAGTTACAAGAGAATGCCGAGTTGCTAACTCGGCAAACTCGGCAAAA